GAGACTCCGATGGATTCGTAGATTGCATCGGCTTTTGACCTCCATTCGGGTGTGAGACTCCGCAGGATTTTCCTCACAAGATCCTTGTTGGTGTAGGTCTTTTTGAGAGCATGAAGATCGTTGATGATCTTTGAGAACCGGTCGAACATGTCATCAATTTTCTCACCTTCTTTCATCCGGAACATTTCGTACTCTTGGGTGAGATAGTCGATCTTGGCTTCGCGAACTTGATCGCTACCTTCGTACGTCACTTCGAGCTTATCCCACATCTCCTTGGCAGTTGTGCAACAGGAGATCTTTCGGTAGTCATCGGGGTTGACCGCGCAATATAGCATATTGATGGCCTTTGCATAGTTTTCGATCTTCTTGATGTCCTCGGCATCAAATTCGTCTTCGGTCTTTGGGACCGTGGTTTCTCCCACTTTCTTCATAGGGATTTCTTCGCCATTTTTGATCACCAACCACAATTGGAAGTTGGAGGAGCGAATATAGATTCTCATCCGTTCCTTCCAATAAGAGTAGTTGGTGCCATCAAAGAGTGGTAAAGAGAAAAGAAAGAGGCACACCGATTTTACCCTGGTTCACCACAACTTGTGGCTAATCCAGCCTCCCGAGAGACTCTCTCGAGCTACACTACTATCTCGTTAAGCTTAACGGTGCTTAACAAACCCGTACAACTTGAGAGTTCGAGTCACACGAACCTCAACGAACCTTCGAAGGAAACAACCCTTCCTTCAAACAACAAGAGAAATACCTTCTCTTGTCAAGTGTCTAAGAACACTAAAAACACTCAAGAACAATACTCTCTTTTTAGAGTGGATATTGAGTAAACTAAGAACGCTCAAGAACACGACACAAGCTTCACAAAAATGGCTCTCAAAAGCTATGAATAATTAACGAATGATTTGCAATGAAAGAGTAGGAGTTGAGAAGTAATGTGATGTGTAAAACAGACCCAAACACCTCATTTTATAGTAGAAAAATAGGCTCCAACGGACCAAAGTATTTAAGGGGTGATTGGCATAATTTGTGGGATTTGATGAAATTTGGATCTGTTGAAAATCACCCAGACAGCACTGTCCTAGGCCTGGACATCGCTGTTCTAGGCTTGCGGTTTGAAAAATGGGAAGCAACGGTCATGCCAATAGCGATGTCTAAAATCCCTACATCGCTGTTTTGGCTGTTGACTTCCAAACAAGGAAAGTTTTAGCCATAAATTCCTTCCAACGGTCAGGTCTCTACATCGATGTTCTATACTAGAACATCGCTGTTTTAGGTCTGCCTTTGGAGATGGAAGTTTGGCCTGACAGCGCTGTTGCTGGGTCAACATCGCTGTCCAAAAACTTTCTGCCAATGCACTATATTTTTGGCTTAGGTTGGACAGCGCTGTAGGGGAGCCTACATCGCTGTTCCAGAAGTTTCTGGAAATCCAACCTTGGCTCAACAGCGATGTCTAACATCCAACATCGCTGTTGGAAGACTTAACGCCAAACCATGGTTTTCAGCCACCCAAGCCAGACAGCGCTGTTGGTTTCACCAACATCGCTGTTGGGCTGGTTTAGCCAGACCCATGGTTGGTTTAGTCAGCCGTTAGCCGATGTCAAAAATGTAA